ACAATCTAGTGTTGCTCAATCAAATGCTGAATCTGAATATGTTGCTGCTGCTAGTTGTTGTTCACAAATTCTTTGGCTTTTATCTACTTTGAAAGATTATGGTCTTACTTTTGAGAAAGTTCCTCTCTTTTGTGATAATACTAGTGCTATTAACATTGCTAAGAATCATATTCAACACTCACGCACAAAGCACATTGATATTCGTTTTCACTTTTTGAGGGATCATGTTGAAAAGGGAGGTGTGGAATTGCAGTTTTTGGACACAAAGTTGCAACTTGCTGATATTTTCACTAAACCTTTGGATTCTAATCGTTTTGCTTTTCTTCATGGTGAATTGGGAATAATTCATCCTTTTGGCATGATTTGAGGGGGAGTTTTGCACCTCATGGTTTTATCAAGCAATAATATGACAATGAGAAAAATTGATTAAAGAGAGCTTTGTTTATGCATATGGTATTTTCTTGTGCATGCTAGCAATACAATGAAGGTTTATTTGCCTCTAGCATAGCTTTTATGTATTCTAGTATTTTCATGAGATTTAGATTTTGCTTTTAAGGGAGATGATGCATGACACTTAAATTTTACTTGAATTAAGACTTAAATTTTACTTGAATTAAGCAAATATGAAATGTTGATGGTAGCATATGGTTTGATTTATAAATGCTCTATATATATGCTTTATTGAATTGTTATTCCTCATATAGCTTTAATTGCTCATTGTGAAAAGAGAATAAAAGTATGAAAAAAATGAATACCGAATCCTTGGAAATAGCCTTGACGACAAGGATGTATTCAATGTGAGCAAAATAATGGGTGCCGAATCCCTGGAAACAGTCTTGACGACAGGGATGTACCAGTAATAAAATAGAAAAGTATGAGAAAAAAGGCTCAAGAAAAGAAAAAAATAAAAAATTCTCTTGTTTGTTTTGTGCTGAAGGCTAATTTGAGAAAGTGTAATAAATGCAATAGGTATATGTGTGTTTAGTGTTTATTTTTCAACCTATGTGCTTGTTAAGATGTTACATTATAAATCGTATGAAATCATGAATTTTGATTGTTGATTCAAGCTTAATTGCAAAATCTTTGGTTCATGATTATACTTTAATGCATGCTTGTTATATTATAGATGCGTTCATCTTCTTTTTATTGCAATACATGACTTGACATGCTATATGTATGCTAAGCTCTTGAACATTAATGAACATAATTCCTATGCTTTGATGAAATCATTGTCAAAAGGGGGAGAAGCAAGGTGAATATTTTTGGAGAAGCAAATGAGTTGAGAAGAGCATATTGTTTTTGGTTCGATTGGGAATTTCTTTTATTTCAAAAGTGAGAGAAGTTTTCTTTTGGATTTTCGAGCACGATGTGTACTTTTTGTACAAAGTGTGCTTTTTACCACTTTTGTTTTTATTTTTCCAGACACCAAAACATATTTTATGGGTTGCCCAATGTGTTCATCAAGCGGGAGATTGTAAAATCAAAGGTGTTTTTGATTATTATTCTGTGATAAACAATTGGCATTGGAGATTATTGGTTTTGATATTTGGAATTTATTTGCGAAGTGGTTTTAGAGATGATTGGAATTTACAGGTGATTAACAGGGACTGATGTCTGTTGGGTCCGGTCAGATCGGGCATGGGTTGCCGGTCAGACGGCGTGTATCGCGCGGGTCTGACCGGCCGACTCTGTGTCGGTTTCGGTTTCGGGTTGTTCATTTAGATATCCGTGATTGTTTCATTGTTATGACTTCTAGATGGATACTATGCGTATGTAATACTGTTGTTTGCTACTAATGAGTCAAGTTGGGGATAGCTTGGTCTCGGAATATGGTTTCTTTGTTAGTTCCATGTGTAGGTAAATTGATACCGAGAGAGTATTTGCGGTGATGGACCGGGAGTCGGCTTGGGGATAAGGCGACGTCCGTGGTAGTCAGAGATCATGCGGGATACTAAGGCTAGAGTTCAATGCACGTGGTTGGTGAAGATTCCATATGGCATACGATAGAGGCATAGTGTGCGTATGGGATGCGGAGTCGAATTTGGAAGGAGTCCAAATTTGGTATGAGTGGTTATGTAAAGTTTGTTTCTTGTACTAGAGGGTTTCCTAGGGTGATTAGGACTTCTAGTATGAGTTTGGTTCGTGGCTTTAGACTGCCTACCTCGGTTATAAATAGAGAGGGAGCGTGAGGCTTCCCGGTATCGCTTTTGAGAGCAATTGAGTTGATGTTGAGTTAGGGTTTCAAGTTTAGTCGAAATTTTTGTAAGGAGTGCACTTTGTAAACAAAGAGAGAATCAATAAAGTCGTCATACACTTTAAGATTTCTTCGATTTGTGTTTCACCGGGTTTCGGTGGTCTAACCGGCGGCGCACCAGCGGTCAGACCGGCGGCATCGCAACAGTCAGACCGGCGGGGACATGGCGGTCAGATCGGCGACAGCGACAGGCGCAGCAGGCAAACTCGGTAGTTCGACCGGAGTTCGATCTCGGTCAGACCGACTCGTTCCAGGCAATCAGACCGACGCAACACGTTCGGTCAGACCACGATCCGTCAAATTTGAGGGTAACTTTTATTTCCGCTAAAAGTTTTGGTTTTTGGGTATACCAACCATTCACCCCCCTCTGGTTGGCTTAGTTGTTGTGATTCGACCATACAGTTAACTTCCTGTGAGATTTCAGGCTGTTTTGTCATTATATTATATATGCATGATTGAGGTAGGTTCAAAGTTTACTTCAAGTCTGAAGGTACAAATGTGTTATCTGTAAAGTTTGCATGCAACTCCCTGTAAGTTTGCATGCAACCCTGCACTCCTAAATAATATTTTACCAGCGTAATACTATATGGATATCTCCTAAGTTGAGAGATCACATATTCCTTTGCCCTTTTTCTTCATTTGCAAGTTATCATGTCGATCAATTTGTTTTTAAGATCTATTTAGATTTCATTCTTCTGATCTGGGCCAAAATAGATGTGTAGGTTTGTGGGTTTTGGGCATCTGAACTTTATGGGCTTTATTCTAATCTTTGGACTTTTTCGCTGGTTCAATTTTAAAGGAAGATTTACCTTAGAGTTTCATTCACGTTTCTCAACATCAAAAGTGGGTATAGAATGTCCCCCAAATTAAAAAAACAAAACAAAATATGTCCCTTGACATTATTATGGATGGTTTTAGATGACATGGCGTCTGCGTGTTTTGTTTGACTTGGCGCTTATGTGCCACTAGAAGAAAAATAAAAAAAGATCATTAGGACCCAGATGTCAGTAGTTGACCAGTTAGAGAAAATTACAGTACAACAAATGTGTAGCCCACATGCATATCATCATCACCCATCATCTCTCCAGTCTCCCTCCCTTCTCGACCTCAGCATCGACAGCTACGACCAGGTCCGCTTTACCCCTCTCCTTTCTGCATCATCATAAGTCCTCATTTTTTTTTCCTTCATATATGGAAAATCCATTCTCTTCGCCCTTCTCCTTTTTTCTATATCATCGTGCATCCTCAATTGATTTCCTCCTTTTTAGAAAAATTTTCAGTTTCCTTAGATTAGTTCAGTTCCATTCTGAGTGAAAAAAAAAATTAGCCATCCATTGCTTTCAACATGGGAGGTTTGACTTTGTATCTTCTTATGTTGATCATCTTTGCATGAATGGCAGATGTGCTAACTACTAAGCCTTTAATTAGATTGTTATGTCAGGGCCGACGCTCTTGGGAAGTGTGACGCCAAGGGAGGATGGAGGCATGGGAGAGAAGTTGCACCTGTTTTAAAAGTTGAGGAACTCTATATATCTAGTTTCGTGGTTGAGGAACGTGAATAAAACTCCACATATATTTCAGGGACCTAAAATGGAGTTCTTCCATTTTTATATCCCGAATGGCCCAAGGAAGCAACAAGAAAAGTCATCCTATAGTATTTACAAAGCCCGCGTTAAACCCACTTTGTGAGCCCAAAGACATCTACAGAAATAAACTCACAAAACGAATAAGCTCACAAAAAACCCAAAAACATGTACAGAAATAAAGCCCACCACATAAGTCCCTCTAATGTTGTTTTAGCACGGAGCATTGATGGGAGATCCACGGGTTAAAAAAATGACTAAAATTAATCAAAATCACTTAAAAGAAGACAGTCCTGTAAGAATATTTTTCAATTTTTTTTCATAACTTTTTAGCCAAATTTTCATAAACCATCTCAATTGTCAACTCTAAAGACTCTCACCCACAATGCATTTTGTTAAAAAAAACCCACCTACCCAACACTATTGGGCTAAAATTGCCCCTACCTTGCCCACCGCGCATAAGGGCACTTGATTTGAGCCAGCATGTTGTGAGTCCAACTTAAACCCATTGTCTATCAAAGAACGATGTTGCTTCTCGCTCACAGCAAAGAAGTCCTTTGACCTCGAGTCAACAAACGGCATAAGAACGAGCTTGAGTTGGACTAACCTTACAGGCATGGTGGATGAGCTAGAACTGACTGATATGGCACTCTATGAATCCATGTCGGAAGAAATGGGTCCAATCAACTTCTCATACACGCGAAAGGGGAAATTTTCAGCCCAACAAATTTGAGTGGATGAGTTTTTTAGTGAAATAGATTGTGGTGTAGAACCATTTTTGTAATTTTGCGAAGTTTTAAAACATTCTAAAACAAACGAAGGAACATCCACAAGGAAAAATTGAAACCACATCCACCATTCCTGGGAAACAAACCACGCAAAACTATGAAGAAACGATGGGGTCATGGTTTACAATTTCAGTTTAATTGCGCCTCCCTCGGCAACCAAATACCGGCCGAAATTTTAGGGTATCCCATTTTTCTGAATTTGGTCAAAGTTTATTCAAATGTAGTCAAAATTCGTTAAATTTTCAAACAATTTCATTAAGTTCTTAAATCATTTTGGCGAAATTTTTTTAAATTTTTTTCGAAATTTCGTTGCCACCGAAATCCCAAAATTTCGGCCCAAAACGAAATTGGAAACACTGACTGGAGTCAACTCACCAGGTGATCGCAAGTATGGCGCCAGATCTATGGTCGCGTTCGCCGGGAAGAACGGCTTGTCGGAGTACCTCATGAAGCAGCCGGCGTCCACGGCGCGGCCGTCGGAGTCCGGCGGGCACCCATCGATGTTCCTCGCCGGCACCGCCAGGCACTGCGCGCACCCGCCCTCCCCGACCGTCTCCACGCACTGCGCCGCCGCGTACACGCCGCCGCGAGCGGCCGCCGCGGCGAGCCCCGGTGCGCGGGGCGCGGCGGCCGCGAGGTCACCGACGAGCCCACGCGCCGCGCCAGCGAAAGAGCCGTCGGCGACGGCGGTGCCGTTGCATACCTGCGTGTTCCCGGGAAGCGTGGCCGGGCCGTCGAAGAAGGCGGCGCTCTCGTACCTCACGACGCAGCCGTCGAGGATGGCGCGCCCGCCGTTGGCGGCGCCGCACCTGGCGCGGAGGCGCGACGCCGCGGCGTCGAAGCACGCGGCGCAGCTGCCCGCCCCCGCGACGTACGGGCGGCACTGCGCCATCGCGAACGCCGGCGCGGCGGCGCGCGGCTCGGCCGCCGTGGCGAAGCCACCACCGCCACCAGCCGACGACAGGTTGGCGCGGAGCACGGCGAAGGTGGCGTTGAGGGCGGCGAGGAAGGCGGCGGCCGGTGTCGCGTTGTACTGGCTGCACCCCAGGTTGAGCAGCGTGATCTGCGGGTCAGCGGCGGCCGGAACCCACGCCGAGGCAACCACCAGCAGCGCCACCGCAGACGGCGCGAGCAGGAGACGATCCATGTTGCACCGCCTCGCCGCGCCGGCCAGCGGCGTCGACGCGAATGGCGCGAGTGGGGGAGGTGAAGGAGGTGAGCGTGCAGTGAGAAGGAGAAGCTATTGATTGGACGAGGTATAAATTAGAGAATTGACAAGCACTCGATTCTATACGATTTGTCATTAACGAACACAGGTTTTACAACACGCCATCACGCTAATGTGTTTCTCTTGTGTTTTCTAATTGGTGTAAGATGAGTTCTTTTGAGAGGGATAGGATGAGAGAATCCATCGTTCTTCATGCACCTGCTTCCAAAAATACTAAACATTCTGTATCATGTAAAAGAATTCCTATAGGAAGGTTGCTTTCGAAAATTCTGTTAATGCATTTTCCAAGTTTAAAATAATTGATGCCACGCCAGGTCAAAGTCACCTGTGACGCATCCAAACCATCACCTCTAACAAGTTTGGTCCTCATCAGAGATTACTCTACTCACCTCTAACAGGTAGAGACCCATGAGTGCTGAGTAACACCTCTAACGGGCCGGATATAAATGAACTGTCACGGGTTACTCACCTATAGCGGATGGCTCTTTCCAACCCGTCAGAGGTGATTGTCATCTCTGTCCATTAGAGATGACTGTCACGTCTAACAGATTGTATCTTATCACCCACCCCAAGTGAAAAAAAATCACCCAAAAAAGAATAACACAACTTCTGCATGTTATTGGCAGATCTGACAACTTTGTATTTTATTGACAGATCTGATAACATCTATGTCAATTTCTAAAGAGTAAATTACTCCATGTATTATGATCCATGTTGCACAAGACCATAGGTATTTTTGATAAGTGGTATATAATCCCTGATGTTATGATCCTAAATTTTCACAAAACCATGGTACTGATCATTTTGAGTTTGATCTAACTACGCTCTACAATCACATCTTAAATTTATATGGGTTTTATCCATCATTTAAATTTTGTATCTGCTTTTTTAAAAAAAAAATTGAATACGAGTATGTTCAAATTGTCAGCGGTGTGGTGCTGTGAAACTTTATTACCATAATACCTAAGGTTATGTGTCATGTGCTAAAATCCATATGATTTTGTATAACATGGATCATAATAAATGGAGTTTTATGAAATTTACTTATTTTTAAAGGGCAAAATAGTCTCTTTTTTAAGGCCTGACGAGTTCAACTACCTATACGGTTCTATACTTAGCTGAACTCGATCGTCAGCCCTTAAGGTACGTTAGTCGGATGTGATACGTCCTAATTAATCTAAATAGGGAGCTAAACGTATCCAGATTTATAGTATTATAGTATTATGATATGTATCCAATCAAAATAAGATGAAGAGACTATATTATAGAACTTGTGATTTTTCAATGGTAAATTGTAGAATCGACCGATGACTAATTGAAGTCTCTATCTGCATATAAATAGTGATGGAGGGGTGATGTGATGGGGCGTAGAATGATATACTACGCCAGAATCCTACATCTGTGACGGCACACCAGTGACGGGCTTAAGGATTGGTCACAGATGACTGTCACCTTTGCCGGATCGTTAGGTTTGCCGTCATCGGTGAGGCATCCGGCCGTGGCCCGTCACAGGTATCACCTCATCTGTGACGAGCCAGAATTTTAAGCCGTCACAGGTGAGGTAGTGACGGGTTTGCTCTCCAACCCGTTACTAGTTTGACCTCACCTGTGACAGGTGTTAAATTTGCAACCCGTCAAAGATTAGATATCTCATCTCAAACTAGTTAAAAAATTATAGCCGTTAGAGATGACTTACCAAAAAATCCCCCATCCCACCCCCGCGACCCTACTCCTCCCCTCGGATTCCCCATCCCTCCTCATCTTCCTTTCTCATCTTCTTTCTCTCCCTCACTCACTCTCTCCCCCTCATCTTCCTTCTCTCCCTCCTCACTCTCTCCCTCACAGATCGGGCCATGGCGTCCTCCCGAGCGCCGGCCGCTGTTGCCTCCCCACCTCCCGACCGGCGGCCGGCGCCGCCTCCCCTCTTCCCGACCGCCGGCCGCCGGATCTAGCCTACGAGGTGCGGACCCGACCACCACGGCCTCTTCCCCGACCGTCGGTCACCGCCGCCTCCCCGCTTCCCGAGCGCTGGCCGCTGACGCGTCCCCGCGTCCCGACCGTCGGCCGCCGCCGCCTCCCCACCTCCCAACCGTCGGTCGCCGGATCTGGCCGCCGCGCGGCCTCTCCCCCGACCGTCAGTCGCCGCCGCCTCCCTGCCTCCCGAGCGCCGGCCACTGACTCGTCCCCGCCTCCCGACCATCGGCTGTCGCTGCCTCCCCGCCACCCGACCGCCGGCCGCCGGATCTGGCCTATGAGGCGTGGATCCGACCACCGCGGCCACGACCCCAACTGTCGGCCACTTCCTCCTCCGCCACCACATCGCCAACCGCCGGATCCGGCCACCGCAGCCTCTCCCCCGAGTGCCGGCCGCTTCCTCCTCCGCCACTGCACCGCCAACCGCCGGATCCGGCCTCGACAAGTTTGTGGGGCGCGGATCCGACCACCGCGGCCTCTCCCCCGACCGTCGGCCGCTTCCTCCTCTGCCACCGTACCACCAACCGCTGGATCCGGGCGAGGATCCGGCCACCGCCTCCTCCACCACTGCACCACCGCCAGATGAATATGATTGTTATGATTTTTGTGATTTTGTTTTGTGCCCAAATCATTGTGAATGTGAAGTGATTTTGTTCTTTGGCCAGATGAATGTGATTGCGATGATTTTTGTGATTCTGTCTTGTGTCAAAATGACTGTGAATGTGATTATTTTTGTGATTTGTGATGCCTAATGGTCTACGACTAGCTAGGCTTATAATATTATTTTTTTGCCCCATTTTTGAGGTTTGTGACGGGTTTCAATTCGGACCCCTCCGTCACAGGTAACCTCACCTGTGACGGATTTTAGTTTGCAGTCCGTCAAAGGTAACTTTTACCACTGACGGGTCTTTACCCGTCACAGGTGACTGTGAGTCATCAATGACCACTGATCTGTGACCAGCGCTTAACCCGTCATAGGTAAGGGTATGAGCCCGTCAGAGATGACCTGATACAGTGTAGTGATACTATCTGCATATATCTCTAAAGCTGCAGGCCGGCTAATTCATTCCACTCTGTCGTGTGTGAGTCTCTCGTTTCTAGTTAGTTTGTTAGGTTTTCATTTTCAAATGTTGCTTTTTCACAGATTTACCGTTGGAAACGTTTTGCAACATAAACTTCTACATATTTTTTATAATAAATTTTTATCTGTTTTACAAACGTACAGTAATCTACAACTTCTTTATAGTTGATACCCACTAAAGCTCAACATCCGTGCAAATATCTCACATGACCATCAACTACTATCTCCGTCCCAAAATATTGCAACCTAGGATAGTGTGAGCCATCCTATCCTAGATTGCAACATTTTGGGACGGAGGTGGGAGCAATTACTATTACAGACACTACTACACAACAGAACATGGCACAGATTATGGTTTCCCGCACATAAAAACAAGAACCCGCTATATCGATGCTATACTCAGTATAGATGACAAGGCATCAGTGCCGGGTATTGGTAAGACCACACATTGATGGGTAGGTCCGATGTCTTATCAGTATCGGGTAGTACTATAACCCATCACTTATGATCAACCCATCAGTGTCGGATGTAGCTGATTGGAGAGGGTATCAGTGGAAAAATTCATTAGTCCCGGATCTTATGGTTACCTGGCACTAATATCGGTATGACATCAGTGCCGAGTATCCTTAAAGACCCGACACTGATGACATAGCATATGTTTTTTCCGTGACCTGACCTCTTCCTTTCTCCTACATTCCTCATCAACCTTTCTTACCTTATCTCTTATATTCCACAGCTCACAGCCAACTTAAATCACTTGCAAGTATAACACATCATTTAGAATTAAACAGTTTAACATATAAGTATATCAAATCATCTTACTCATATCATTTTCTTAATATTTTAACATTCATCATATACTATAATATTTAACATATATTCATTCATTCATTCCGTAACAAAGCACGGGATTTCACCTACTGTTTTACCATATCCGTCCTAAAATACTATTGAAGAAAATTTTACGGTTTATTAATTGGACTGCGTTTGAGTGTGAATCAGTAATCGTTCTATTGCAAAGATAGACCCGTATCACATGTTCACAGTACACGCCATTTTTCAACTTTGATAATCATAGTAAACTGACAGCTAGCGCCTTTTGTCCGTTAGTTAAGCTTGTAGATTAACTGTGTGCGGCATAAAACTTGATCGTGTAGGCTCGCGTGGCATATTTCCTCTTTTTTCATATGACCATTAGGGCATGTACAATGATCACAAATAAAGGGCTCTTAGTATTTTTAATAGGAATATATTTGCCAAAATGAAAGAAAGAGAAGACACAAACATCATGGTTAACAATGACTTAGGGCCTATTTGGTAGGGCTCCAAACTTCAACTCCTAACTCCCAACTTTAATTCCAGTGAGAGCTAGCTCCTATAGGAGCTGAAGTGGGTATTTGGCTAGATTGGCTAGCTCCACCCCACAAGTCCCTTGTTGGCATTTCGTCGAACACCTGGTTGGCGTCACCCTGCCGCTGGAACCGCCGCTCTGCCCGCGTGCCGCCGCCGGCGGTCAGCCCACGGGCCGTCGCCGCCGCTCGTGCGCCTCTAGCCACCTGCGCCCCTCCCACGGCCCGCGCCCCTCCCGTGCGCCGCCTGCTACCACCGGCGGTCCGCCTGCAGGCCGCCGTCACACACGCGTCGCTCGGCCGCTGCTGCTGCCCGCGCGCCTACCGACACCGCCGCTGCCCACCGTCGGTTGCCGCTGCCGCCTGTCGCTGCTGTAAGGAGGAAAAGGGGGAGGAGACAGAACGGGAGGAGAGGGAGTGTGAATGGGGTAGTTAAGTGGCATATGGTCCAAATACGTGAAAAAAATTAAAGGGTAGTGGGTCTTTTGAGGTGGAGTGGAGTTGTGGAGCAGCAAAAACCTAGCTCCACCCCCGTAGTACAATTTTGTGGAGCGGCTCTGCCAACTCCGCTCCAAAAAAAATATGGAATCTATACCGTTTGGCACAGCTTCAGCTCTAGATAAGTTGAAGTTGGGAGCCAAAGCTGTGCCAAACGAGGCTTTAACACCGACTCTAACCGTCAGTAAAATAAAAACATAGTCACATGAAGATAAAATAAGGAAATAACAGTAATAAGAATTATTTTTTCTAAGTTAATTGCTAAAGTATT